TATCGCATTGGTGCATTGTCCAAGGTGGGGCTCCTCTGTTCCCAGGACTCCTGACTCTGTTCGGGCTTGTGCTTCTCTAGGAGTTCATCGAAGAGTTGCTGTCTCCCCCCTTCGGGGGTCTGGTGGCATTTGTGAAGGAGGCTGAAGCTTTGATTGAGCGAGGACAGGCCGAGCGACTTCGAGGGGAAGAAGGTGGGAGGATGTTGTCATGGGGAAGGAGAGTGGGTGTTTGGTCACTCAGGAAGGTGGCCCAGCGGGGAAGGCTTGGCTGGGAGAGAACCAGGAAGCCAGGCTTGGCGTGAGTGGGCCTGGCTTCTCTGACACTCCCTTCCCTCTGGCCGTCAGCCCGAGTCACGCAGCTGATCCGAGGCTTCGGCAGTTCCTGGAAGTCCTCAGTGGAGTCCCTGAGCCAGGATGTCATGCGGAGCTTCACCAACTTCCGCAACGGGACCAGCATCATCCAGGTGGGCCGCTCCCTGCCCTTTGCTGTGGCCCAGGGTTAACTGTCCTGCTCTTTCCGAGGGCCTCATGGTCTACACAATCGCCCTGACAGTCAGCAGTCAGCTCTGCCAGGTCCTGTCAGCCTGACCCACTCTCCTCTCTGCAGGGGGCTCTGACCCAGCTGATCCAGCTCTACCATCGCTTCCACCGGGTGCTGTCCCAGCCGCAGCTCCGGGCGCTCCCCGCCAGGGCTGAGCTCATCAACATCCACCACCTCATGGTGGAGCTCAAGAAACACAAGCCCAACTTCTGATTCGGATCCACGCCCTTACCCGTGCCTCCCTTTCCCGGCCTTGTCTCCGAGGCTCCCACACTCGTCACGCAGCCTCCGTGTGAGGACTGCCTCAGCGCAGTGTGTCCCAGGCCACTTCTCCCGAGGCTGCTGAGGTGACCTTCGTTCCCCCGTCCTGTCACCTTACCTCCTGCCCTGTTCACTCAGCCTATGAGCTTCCACCGCCTCAGTCCCCTACTGGCTCTCAGCTCGTAGGGCAGAGCAGTGCAGGCCGCCCTGACCTGTGGCTTGCTGACAGGCTCCACTGGAACACTGAGCCGTCACCTCCTGGGGGTCCCTCATCAGTCCTTAGGCAACAATAAGTGCCTGATGTGCTATGACCATTTCCTCTTCGTTCCAGGCCTCTGATTGGTTCTCCTGCACCTCTTACTGTAGCCCTTTCTAGTTCCCACCCTGGTTGGCGTCAGGGAGGGAGGTGGGGGAGCAGCCTCTGGCGTGCTGCTGCTTCCGGCACAGGGGCGGCAGAGCTGGCCAGGAGGGGACCGTTTGTAGCTCCCAGGAAGGTGGCTCATGCCTGGAGGCCTGAGGGCTACCATGGGAAAAGTCCACCCTGACTCTGAGGTGGTCTGCCTCGGCCCCTAAGCAGCTGTCACAGCTCCTCTGGGTGGAGGGCCTGCAGCACCCGTACATTGGCCAACTGCTGGGCCTGGCTTGTTAGTTACAGCAAGACCCTTCCTGCTGCCCCACTACGTGCCAGGCTTGAAGGCTCTACATCAGCGGTTCTCAAGCTTCCTAGTGCTGCGTCCCTTTAATACAGTTCCTCATGCCGTGACCCAGCCATAAAATTATATTGTATGCTGATTGCCACTTCATAACCGCAGTTTTGCTACTGTTGTGAATTGTAGTGTGAATGTCTGTTTTCTGACGGTCTTAAGCAACCCCTGTGAAAGGGTCGTTTGACCCCTAAGGGGATCATGACCCATAGGTTCTAGAGTGAAGGAACATCATTGACCAAGTTTTTTATTTTATTTTTGAAACAACGTTTCTCTGTGTGGCCCTTGCTGTTCTGGAGCTCACCCTATAAACCAGGCTGGCCTCGAATGTTGGCCTCTGCCTCAAAAGCGCTAGGGTTAAAGGGTGGCCACCACCCACCGGCCACCTTGACCAAATCTTAAACAAAAGCTGCGCTGGTTTGTCATCCCGACTGACTGGGCGGCTGAGGCACGGGACGAAGGTCTGCCTGGGTTAGAGAGTAAGTTCAAGGGGCGGCGTCTCAAAAGTCAAGCGCAGGGTGTAGCTCAGTGCCAGGGGGCTTGCTAGGCGGATTTGGTCCCTCGGTCCCAACTGCATTGTCGGGAGGAATTCCAGGTGAAAGATGCTGTCCAGAAAAAAAAGAAAAAGCAACGAGCTTATTTCCTCCACCCCATTCACTCCCCAGGTTTTGGCCAGCGGAGTCTTTGAGCCGGTGCACCCAAGGCCCTGGCCTGCTGAAGCCCAGAGAGGGGGAAGGAAGGAAGGAAGGAAGGAAGGAAGGAAGGAAGGAAGGAAGGAAGGAAGGAAG